ATAGAGCTTCAATAGGTATTTGGGCGTAGGCCAAGTACGCGATCAATGGTTTCTCCCTACACATCAAAAACATGTATTTTCCATTTTTCCTGGATCAACCTTACAGTAGTTGTCATTTTTCTGCCAATCTTGTGGCGAGATAGGCCTATGTAGTGACTAACCCTACCAGCTTGATAACTATTACTATCCCAATGAGTGTGACCACCACAATGTCCAAGATTGTCACGATAACTCTCCCTACCGCAAGCTCGTCCATGCCCCCGGTCGCGACTGATAACAAGACTTCTTTCCTTCTTATTGTTACTAATCACCGCATTTGCTTCAAGGGATGGTGTTGGGGCAAAGCCACTAGGACGAGATTGATTATTCTTTAGGATCAACCCATTATTTTTCCAGCAGCACTTAATTGACTCATCAAGTCATGATTTTTGTATACCCCTTTTCCCTGTACTGTTGGGGGTAGGACACTGTTTGATGGATGAAAAATGGAGTTCTTTTTCTCAAGCATTTCACAATCAGTTATCTTCTCTCCAGATAATCTTAGCTAAGATGTAATTATGTACATATTTGAAATATAATCAACCACAGTCTTAAAATCACGCAATCTTAAGTCCATTCAAAACAAGCCGTGGCAAGTATGATCGTTTTATGATGGTCATATATTTAATACTTCATGAAGGTGATGTCGAAGAAAAATCATGGCTTAGACTTTATCTTCTTTCAATGTGGTATCATCAATTTTTATTGTATCACCCAAATCTTTGACATCCAAAAATGAATTTAAACATCTATTACCAATGATAGATACTTTTTCCCGCTAATCTCTAGTGCGGCGAATTCAAGTTTCACGAGATTTGACATATTGATAACTACAAAAGAAAATAATATTACTATATTGTCAAATAATGTATCATGAGACCATGCAACTTATCACACATTATCATATTAAACGATTCTCATTCAAAAATACATTCTAAAACATTTGAATTTAAATTTGTTATCCATATTATATGCTTACTAAGTTCAATTATGTCATTAATTGGATTAAATATCTAACCGTAACAGTTATTTACTAATGAATGCCATTATAGTCTTTGAAAAATTCTACTTCCACTACAAAAAACATGAAGATTTTCACGGATTTTGTCACGACCGTAGTTAAAAACTCAATGAGACAATGACAAAAAACTTTGTCACGGATTTTTCCGTGACCGATTGAGCGTGACAAAAGTTTGTCACGGAAAGGCATCCATGAAAATACTTTGTCATAGATTTGTCACGTCCCACATCCGTGACAATAGGGTCACCGGATCCATTTGTGACAACCCTTATAATTTGATTTTTTGATTTTTTTCGTATTGGGCTGTGCAGGAAACTAAAAAAATTCAAATTTTACATTAAGTCACAGATTCCATTCGTGACAAACATTTTCGTAAAAATATATATTATATTTTGTCACGGATACCACCTGCGACAAACATTTTTTTAGATTAAAAAAATGTCTGTATTCGCATGAGGAAAAATGTATATGACTATGTATAAGCATGTATGTATTCTACTGCACGTTTGATTATTTTACTTGAGTAAGTATTTTAAGTGTGTGTGGTTTTGTTTGGAAACATGGTTGTATTTTGTAATGTGAAGTAAAATGAGATGAATTAATTATACACACACGCATATATATATATATATATAACAATAATATATATATATTATTGTAATTGTGTAAAAGTGATGAAGTGAATATGTATAGTTCTATTATGGTAATTCTGTTTAAAAGTGATGCATTTTATTAAGTGTGTGCTTAAGTGAACATGTATACTTTGATTAAATAACAGATGAAGAGGAAGAAGAGATTTGTAATAAAGTTCCCGTTGTTGGCATGGAGTTCCCAAGTAAAGATGCAGTGTATGATTTCTACAAGGAATACGGGAGAAGAGTAGGGTTTCCTGTTAGAATATGAAATTCAAGGAAAGACGCAGAAGGAAGCACAATTGCAATTGCATTAGAGTGCGGGCACGCAGGAAATAGACAAAGCCGGACACAAAATGTTTTGAAACCTCAACCTTCAATGCAATTTGGTTGCTTGGCAAAAATAAGAGCACGTATAAATTATAAAGGGGCATGGGTCATTTCAACGTGTTGTTTAGATCATAACCATCCTATGAGTCCAACGAAGGCTAGACTATTTCGGTGTTATAGGAGGTTGACACCAAAAGCTATGAAGCAAATTGCGATCAATGATGTCGCGGGTATACGACTTAATAAGAGTTTCCACTCACAAGTCGTAGAAGCGGGTGGATATGATCAACTTACATTCATTGAAAAGGATTGTCACAACTATATAGATAAGGTGCGTCAACTTAGGTTGGGGTTGGTGATGCGGTGGCATTGCAAGATTTTTTTTAAAAAATGCAAGCACAATGCTCCAGGTTCTTCTTTATGCTTGATTTGGATAAAGAGTCACGGTTACGAAATGTATTTTGGGCGGACAATCGATGTCGATATGCTTACAAAGATTTTGGTGATGTCATTACTTTTGACACAACATATCTTACCAATCGTTATGACATGCCATTCGCGCCATTTGTAGGAGTGAATCACCACGGGCAATCAATCTTGCTTGGTTGTGGCCTCATCTCGAGTGAAAATACTCAAACGTTTGTGTGGCTTTTTAGAGCTTGACTTGAGTGTATGGACGGTTGTGCCCCTCACGGAATTATTACCGACCAAGATCGTGCTATTCAAAATGTCATTCAAATAGTCTTTCCTAATACATGACATTGATGGTGTTTATGGCACATAATGAAGAAGCTACCGGAGAAGTTGGGAGGGTTTACCCATAAAGATGAAATTATAGCCGGTATACATGATGCAATATATGACTCTCAATTCCCTGTTGACTTTGAAGTTGGTTGAAATTCTCATTTGGAAAGGTGGTAGACAATTGTGTAGTAATATTGAATGACTTGCCAGACAACATTTGTCTGGCCCAGACATTAGTACTCTAAGACGTAAAGCTTGTGTATGTCATAGTCACAGACAAAATATGTTTGGACTAGACATTTTGTTTATGGGGCATTGTGGTTGTTTCTGCAACACGTACAAACAACATTTGTCTGTGCCAGACATTAGTAGTCTAGGACATAATGCTTGTGTATGTCAAACTGACAGACAAAATTTGTCTGTGCCAGACATTAGTAGTCTGGGAGATAATGCTTGTGTATGTCAAACTGCCAGACAAAATTTGTCTGTGCCAGACATTAGTAGTCTGGGACATAATGGTTGTGTATGTCCAACTGACAGACAAAATTTGTCTGTGCCAGACATTAGTAGTTTGGGAGATAATGCTTGTGTGTCAAACTGACAGACAAAATTTGTCTGTGCCAGACATTAGTAGTCTGGGACATAATGCTTGTGTATGTCCAATCGACACACAAAATTTGTCTGTGCCAGACAACTTTGTTGTAACTAATGTCTTGTGTATTCATTATAGGTATTCACTTCAAGATGATGAATGGCTTAAGGTCATGTTTGAAGAACGCCAAAGGTGACCTTGTTACTTGAAACCTACTGGGTAGGTATGTCCACAACTCAACGAAGTGAGAGCATCAACGCTTTCTTCGACCTTTTTGTGCACTTTAAAACAAGTCTAAAACAATTCGTGGAGCAATATGGTCGTGCCTTAAAATTTAAGGCTTAAAAAGAGTGTCAAGCGGACGCAGAGTCTTTTTCAAAATTGCTACCGTGTGTTTTGAAATTTGCTATGGAGAAACAAATGCAAGGAATATACACAATGGCGAAGTTCAAGGAGTTTCGAGATGAAGTGGTTGGCAAGCTTTATTGTGACATCATTCAATGCGATGGCGGTAAAATTTATCATGTCAAAGAAGAAGTAAAAATAACAGAGGACTTTTACAAGACTGTTTACTTCATAGTGGAATATGATTCCGGCTTGTGTGCATGCAAATGCAGTTGTCATTTGTTTGAATTTAGAGGCATTGTGTGTAGACATATGTTTATGATTCTACAGCGCAACGATGTTAAAATGTTGCCCAAGGTGTACATCATGCGGAGATGGAGGCAAGATAGAAAGCGCTCTTACACACGAGTGAAAATAAACTATGATGGGTGGATCACAACAGTGGAACAACAACGGTATGACAAGTTGTGTAAGACTTTTGAAGATCTTGCAAATGCCATTGCCGATGATGAGGAAAAGTATAAAAGCGTTATGCAATGGATGCAAGACCAATTGCATGAGTGTATCGGGTCAACTACAACTTATTCCGTTTGTGGTGTCATGACACAACTTGCACAATTACATACAAATGGGCATGAGGAGGCACCGGGTCCAATTCAAGACCCGAAGATCACAAAAAGGAAGGGTGCACCGAGGAAAAACCGCATAAAGGGTCCTCTTGAAAAATCAAAGAAGAAACAGAAGTTTTAATGCAATTACATATACATTTTATTATAGTGTTTCAGGTTTGGACTTTTAATTTATTAACTATAGTTTTTAATGAATAATTTGACTAATGTTATTTTTTTTTTTCCAGTCGGATCCAAAACCAAAAATTAAAAAGGAAGAACCCTAGTGGAATGCACATAACTGAAGGCTCAAATGAAATTTATGATTTGATTGTATTAACGCCCTGTGTGAATGATAAGGGGTTGGATTTGAACCTACCCTTATTGTGAACTTGTAGTTGGAATTTTCAATTACTTGTCATTGAAACTTATGTATTTGTAGCATCAACGTCCTATTCCACAGTCATTGTGTAAAACTTCACAACTTAGTTGCATTTTCTGAATGAAAAGGGCCCCTTCATTTCAACCGTCGATTATTGTGATTTCCATTATTAATGTGTAACAATTTGGAATGTACAATTACTTGTGCTATTGAACATTATGTTTTTGTGTGATATCAGTATCATTCGGTGAGCGAGACACACAAAATGTATACCTTCTTTGACAATTTCAACCAAGGAGACAGATAAATTGTATATGCTGACATACATACATAAAACTTCACAAAATAACATAATAGGTTTAATTTAACATAATAAGTTTAATTACAACATTTAACATTCAAAGGTTTTACATCCATAATGTTTGCAACAACAATAACAACCTAAAAAATAGCATTCCCACATTAAATAGGCATTCCAGAATTCCTATGATTTGTCCACATTCTTCACTCCCCACAAACGTACAACATATTGACATCGCTTGCTCCACATGTTGGAATACTCACAACCTGGAGCCAAGGGCTTTCCCAATAAAAGGTGTTCTGCATACGATGCAACCATGACTCCACATTCTCCTGAGCTGTAGACAGACAAGTAGAACATAGGCAGACAATTAGGCCATGGAGACGGACAATTTACAAATTGTAATTAAGGTTGAATTAAATACCCTGGCCGCTGTTGGGGAACACCCTCAACTAAGTCAGCAACCCATGGTTGCACTTCCTTCTCTAGCGGGGACATCGTAAACAAGCTATGGAGGTATGGCAGCCGATCACATAATTCCCTTACATGAAAAACACTTCTACCGCTCTTCAACGAATCATATACTCGAACCAACTACTTTTGCAACACAACTTCTGCCAAGATCCAATGCTTGTTCTTTATGTTTAAAGGAAGTAAGACCTGCCACAAAAAATACATACCACAACATAAAAACCTATAAAGGTCTGCACGGAAACATATTGATTTTCTTAAAACTAAATATTACCCTTTCAAATGATCGCCAATCTTGTTTGGTCAGAAATTTGTCTGCAGCCCAATTTTTCACCTTGCCAATTTCCTTCCTCATGATAGGATGCTACAAAAGGTTTATATATGTATTGGTGTCCGGTTTTTCAAGATAAACTACACAATATTTGTATGTAGCACAATTTATATTACAATTTGAACCTGTAATTTTTTATACGTACCACAAGAGATATGGGCTCAAAATGGTACAGTTGGCTGCAACCTTGTCACTATTTAGCAAGAAGGTGATGACATCAACATGCTAAAAAAAATAATGTCATGTACATCACAACGCACAATATATCAACATAAGAAGGTGAGAGCATGAACTTACATAGGTGGCCAACCAAATATTACATGTGAGAAAGTCTGGGAAAAATCCTCTGTTCACTTCGAATTCATCAGGGATCATTAAAACAACACTCAAAGGAGGATGCTGGTCATCATCCTCAATCCAATCCTTAAGTTCATTCCATTCCTCAAGGGATTCATTGATGAAGATTGGGTTGATGGTGTGACTCGGTTCAGCAATGGCTTTCAACCGCTTTCCTTTTGGCGCTGTATAAGGGCTGACCCTATACTTGGATGGGAATTTTAGTCGTTTACCAAGTATTTTCATCGACATTTGTTCTGGTGCTGGAGTTTTAATGGGAGCACTTTGCAAGTCTGCCACAACCTCATCCCAATAAGCATCATCAATTGGGCCTGATGATGCCAACTCAGAATCAACCACCTAAATGAAATTCATGATAAGCAAGAAAGTGTCAAAATGTTTGTAGCCAAAGATTTTAATATATGGGACAGACATATTGACTTATTTCAAGGAGAGCGGATGATATGATATCATTCGAAGTTGTACCAACATCAAACTCCCTGACTGTATTTGAATCGTCCATTGGTCCAGATGGTTCAGTCAAAACATCAGTCACCTACATTAAAAATTTCTCATTAGCAAGACAGGGTGAAAATGTCTGTAGACAGACATTTTTATGTATAAGACAGACATATTAACTTACTTTAAGAACATCGGGTGATATGATCTGCTTAGAAGGTGTAGCAACATCACAGTCCGTGGCATGGTTTGCATCAGCCATTTCTCCAGATGGTTCACTCACAACATCAGCCACCTACATTAAATCAACCAAGTGCATGAGTGTTCAAATGTTTAAAAATAGAGAATTCAATTTTGTATGACATACATATTAACTTACTTCAATAAGGATGGGTGAGATGATATGATTGGAAGTTGTAGTAACATCAGTCATAGTTGGTTCACCTACTGCTGCAGCCACCTACATGAAATCCACCACGAAAATAAATTCAGTTTTAAAAGGTCTGTAGACAGACATCTTATATTGGATGGACAGACAAATTGACTTACTTCTTCAACGTGTGTTGGCTCGTTTTCAACGTCCTGTTCAACTTGGTCTTTATCTTCAACCTCATCATCATCAACTTCCATTTCCATTACCTTATTCTTAGAACCAATCTGCACAAGCATTGTATTAACACACCACTCCCAATGAAAGAATCGGAAAGAATTTTATGGCATCAAATATTATTTACCTCAGTCGCCTTCTCTGGCACGCCACCCTGTGCACTGAATCTCTCTTCCATCAACTTCAACCTGCTTTCCAAAGCTGCCACATGCTCCCGGAGCGCTTGAATCTCATCCATCACTTTGGCTTTGAAACCCTTGTCCCGAACTTTTTCATCCTTGTTGTCATTTTTCAGATTCATCTTCCTCCTATACAGGAATCTTAAAGACTAAAATACGATGTTATTTGAATGCAATAATCAACAAAATAAGATATAATACATCATCATTGTCCTTGAAAACCAATTCATTCAACTTGCGTGCATGAAAGAATCCATCGGCCTTCGAGTTCAGCATAGGAATTTCTTCATTACCAATACGTTCAGCACATTGTTCTCCTAGGTTAGGCACGTTTTCATACGCCCAAACCTAAAAAAATTTATAAATTTAATATGTCTGTCTGCAAAAAGTTTAAACACACAAATGTGTGTATGCACAAATAAATGTCTGTTTACCAAAATATTTTGTCACCCTGGAAGATATATATGTTTGTCTGTGTGCACATAGAAATGTATGTCTCAACATTAAACTACAAATGAATGAGAAAAATACTTGTAGAATAAAAGGACATCCATATAGACTAAACTTAGCAGTTGTGGCCTTGCTTTTCCTGAACCTGGTGGGCTACTCTTTCATGATACTTTTGAAGTTGTCAATCATGGTGTTATAGGACTCCACACCCCATGGATACATCTTAAACTTCTCGAACTCGTCCGCCTACTTCAAATAGTCCAAATTTATCTTGGTTTTGTTATCCCGAGCAAGTAAAACGGTCAAAATGTAACAAACGGACACTAGCTTCACAGGATCTCCTCTTTTTGTACGCCTAAATGACTTCAACTTGTCCTTCAACATTTTGTACGTAATGTTCTTAGTTCCACGAAAGTACTTGTCAATTAGCGTCTCATGCACTTCTTCATCATCATTGAAGACAGGATTTTCTGTTGATGATTTGAGACCGGATATGCGACAGAAATCAGCATACACAAACTTCAACAGCCTCCCTTGAATCAAGAACCACATGCCATCTTCAGGTTGGTCCTTGACTAGCCTCAACAGTAGAGAATGGATGAATTGGCCTAAAAATTGCATGTCTGGCACGGATAGTAGGTGGCCCCATGTCAAATTCTTAAATTCTTCCAATTGATCCTTTGTCAGCGCAACTTTGACCAAGCTTACAGCCTCTCTGAAATATGAGCACACAGATAACTGGGCTGGAAAGTGCTTGTGAACTGGAATTTGTACTTCGAATGACCTGTATAATTAACACAAATACAAATCAAACATTTCAGACAACTATGTTCACCTAACAGACAACTACACAATAATTTTCCAGACAATTATGTTCACCTAACAGACAACTACACAATAATTTTAATGGGTTGCCAGACAACTGTGTTCACATGATAAACAACTACAAATGGCTTGCCAGACAATTCATTTCAAATGACAGACATCTCATACGCCTGGCCAGACCACTATGACATCACAGATAACTTTCAAGAATTCAAAATGAAGTACACACAATGACAAACAACACCAAAATTACACACCAAGATAATATCAATCCAAAAAAAATTGAAAAAATTACATACCTTTCAGCCATATGTGCTAAGCTTGAACGATGGACCTTAAAACCTTCACGAGGGCGGTTCGTTCGACGGTGGTGAACAGTGCACGAGGGTGGTTCCTTCCTTGGGTTTCCGAACTCGTTCGATTTGAGAAGAAATGACGGACACTTCGAGATGAACAGTTCTAGTTGGTTGTGAGGGTGAGGACGCCGGTTGTGGGGGACGAGTTGGGAGGTGTTCAGGTCGGTGAGGGTGGGGCAAAATTCGACGGTGGGGAGGGGGAGTGGGAAGTTTTTCGAAACTGCCTGGGGAAGGGAAAAGGTGGGGGCGAGGTATTTGGTGAGGGGGGGGGGGGGGGGTGGCGCACGTGAGGGAGAGGGAATGGAATGGAGAGGGGGGTAAATTTTTGGAATGGTTTTTATATGGGGTACAATTTGGGATATACTTGGGGTACCCATACCAATTTTCCTTATTTTCGATTTGATTCTTTTCAATAGCAATAGTCTCGTTGCTTTTTAGCTTTAAAAGTAGTGCCCATACAAATTGCCAAACTCAGCTATTTGAAAAACGAAAAGGCAAAAGTAGGACCACCTGAAGCATTAAGGCAGTCTTAGGAGTGATTTTTGCTATGTTTATCCATAACGTATGAAGAGAGTCTCCTTTGGGGCAACCCCTCTAAAAAAACTTCAAAACTGCCGGACTCAAGTCTACCAATTTTATTAATACAAGTCAATAGATTTATGAAAGTCCGTATAATCTATAAAAATCCATATAAAAGTGTTGAGTTTTTTTCCGTAGTAATGCTAATTAATTAAGTATTTACGAAAATAGGGTTGGGTTAAAAGTATTTACGGATATACTGCTGGGCTTAACACTGGTCGGGGTAAGTCGCCAAACCGTTTGGCGACTTATAATTCGCCCAACGGTTTGGCGACTTACCCATAAAATTAATAAACAGGATTAAGCTAACCTCGCGAACCCACCAGTCCAGTCCAGTATCGAGAAAGAAAGTTTTTTAAAAAAAAAAGGAAAGAAAAGAGGTGCAAAATTGTCTTTTGAGACCTACTAAATTTTACGACTATCGTGTCAGCAGGTCGCCCGCGTAGGGGGTGCGAATTTTTGGTTCTGAACTAGAAGCCGGAATTCTTGTGTGCGCGAGAGCTCCCCTATTCTCCTTCACCATTTAATATTAAGTGATGAGTGGTTCATATTTATAGGCTTCAAACTTTCCAAGGAGTTTAGGTGTGGGAAAGTTAAAGAAGCCCACTTTCCACCTTTGCTTGAAAGTGTACACTTTTTCATCTATCTTTTTCAAGAGCTAGTTTTGAGGCACTTCAAACTTCAAGCTTCAAAACTCCAACACCAAAGGTCAACACTACAATCAAATTTCATGTCTGGTACGTCCGTAGAAACAAAAACGAACCAAACCTATCTGCTACGTTAGATTTAAATGAATAATAGTATACGGCTCAGATTAAATTTAAAAAAGAACCGTCTTCGTTTTCCGTCTCTGTACTTTACCGCCTTTCCGTCATTAGTGACACTCTATTATTGTCATTTAAAAATTCCTGAATCCGCCTCTGGATATATAGATATATAGATAATTCTATTTCATTCTCGACTTAACCGATCTTATAGACGTCGGTTTACGTGTATTTTAGATGTGCTAAAATCTAATCTAATCTAATTTGTTGAAATCTTGTCTAAATTGAAATCAGTGTATGTAAACATACTTATAGGACCATAATCAATCTACCTTTGGGCTGGGTGCTAATCGTGATACACTGATACGTGAAGTTCACATTCATTTTCTTAATAACCCTAATTGAACTTTCCAAATTTGTTAATAACTTAATAATGATATTTTAAGTCACCTGATCATATATTACGAATAAATCATTTACTTAAACGAAAATATTTAATATTTAAAGTCACTGTTATAGTGATTTAAGTATAAAATGGAACTTAAGTTACTACCACAAAAATTACTTCTATAGACACTGCATTTAAGAGATTATTATACTTTTATAAACAACTTATTATTAATCCTAATATGAAATGATTTCATTTTTATACAATTGATTTGTAATTAAAAGGTTAGGATTTGTACTTCAGTTTAAAAACTGTTAATTGATCATGGTAAAGACTAGCATCAAGCATCAGACTAAGTAAATGAAAACGAATAAAACCAACCTTGTCGCATATTATACAAAGAAATTGCGGTGCTAGAACAATCTTGCGCAATTCATACGGTTTCTACTTGAGGTCTGCGTTTCCGGATCGATCTGTTTCTTGCCGCATCATGAGAAGAAAATGGAAGGTGGTAATAAAATATCGATATTCCTCATGAGGTAGGAACCACATATTTACTCCACACTATACTTATCCATAAAGAATCTTCACCAATATTCTGACTTCAACAACCACCTAAATTGAATTCTAACTAATACTCTCTGACGCGCGAAGTTGCCAGTGTGAATGTGTGATTTGAGAATTATAGACGAATTAAGGGAAATTACTTCGACTAAAAATGTTTTTGTAAATTTTATAATACGATTGTCATGTTTTTATTACCAAAACAGGATTAATTACTGTTATATTTTGACAATACTTGACTTTAAACATAACAGTATTTTTTAAACTTGGCCGTAATTATTCCTATTTTGGAAATAAAAACATAACAGTCCTATTTTGGAATTTACAAACGTTTTTAGTCCCATTTTGGGAATTTTCCCTTGAATTGATTTTATCGGATTGGTTTAAGAGGTTTTTTAAATATAATTGGAATATTACGAAATATAATTAAAATTATTATGGGTATGTTATCATGATCATTTCATTGTAAATCCGCAAGTTTTTTGTGCACCATATTTCCATCTCTATCTCAAATATCTTAACTTCTCTTCTCTATCTATTGTCCACTTTTAGAGATACATGTACTTTGATCACATTCGATTTTTTATATTTGATATATACGATATTACACACATTAATGATTAAGTGAAAGTGGAAGCTTATGTGATATAACAAAAAGTCCTAAAATAATCCCAATAAACACGGAGAAGTTATTATAATTAATGATCATAAAAAGAGGATATTGATGATTTGTGATAAGATTAGTATGTAGAGTGCATCATACTCTTAAAAAGTATATATAGTCATTAAATATGTTTATCATACTTGGCCAAACGATATTTCCATCTCACTAAATTTGTTTATTTAGAATGAAAGTTTAAGATAAGTTTTTCAAAAAATATACAAATGTTATTTAAAAAACATACAAATCTTATTTACAATACTCTTTTTAAGATTCCTTTTAAAAAAACGTATAAATGTTATTTTATGATATTTAAAATATAACTTTTTAAAACTCATCATATTTCACATGACACTTATTTTTTAAAAATTATTTAGACTTTACATTCTTGTAAACCCAATTGTTCCTTTTTTTCCCTTTTGTTCCGTCCTACGAGTGGAAAATACACATTTAATATCGATCAAAACGCACTTTTAATGTTGGTCCCGAACCAACATTGATGCAACTGTTATTAAAAGTGCATTACTTTCGTATGGAACCACCCGTTACAGAAACTTTATAATAGCGGGTTAATCAAATCGTTATCGAAAATTTATAATGTCGGCTACATTTGAATTGTTATTAAACGCTTTCAATAACGACTACACTTTATCCATTACCAAAACACTAAAATGTCAAATAAATTTTAACCGTTATCAAATACGTAGTACATTTGACATGGGAAGCGTATACCATCCAGGCATCCAGGCAGCTGTACGGCTGGCACCGTACAATCGGTGACATTTTTGTAAATTTGATGAAGTTCATGATTTCTCTTAAATGAGCATTGATGTAATTTGGATGAGCATCGAATTTGTTCCTTTGAGTATTAGAAGCCTAATAATGAGCACCAGTGATCTCTGCTTCATATCTTCTAATTCAGTTTCTTTTTATTGATTTTCGTTTATAAAAAATTCTTAAATTGTGTTTATAATTAATTTCAATATGTCAATCTAATGTAGTATGATACGTTTGATATGTGCATCATTTTAAAATGAGCATAAACCAAATTAGCATACATAAGTTACAAAATGAGTATCAAAAAATTCAAAACTTCATTTGTGTATGCTCATTGATTTTGGGCATTATATTTGATATGTGCATCAATTTAAGATGAGCATAAAGCAGTATCAAATGAGCATACATAATTTACAAAATGAAGATTCAAAAACTCAAAAGCTCATTTAATTTGTGTATGCTCATTGATTTTGGGCGTTATATTTGATATGTGCATCATTTTAAATGAGAATAAAGCAGTACCAAATGAGTATACATAATTTACAGAATGAGTATCAAAAAATTCAAAAGCTCATTCGTGTATGCTCATTGATTTTGGACGTTATACTCATTTAAGTTTAACATCAAACACATTTTTAATGTGTTTAATACTCAATTGTGTATGTTCATTTCTTTGAGGCGTATACTCATCTGAGTTTAATATAAAACTCATTTTTAATGTGTTTTATGTTCAATTGTGTATGTTCATTTCTTTTATGTGTACACTCATTTGAGTTTAATATAGAACTCATTTGAGATGAATAGCAGTAGGGATTCCTTTGTCTGCAGTATTCCTTTGTCTGCAGTACTCCTTTGTCTTCCAAAATCACAATCTCAAACACCAAAATTGAATAAGAAAAAGAGAAAAAAAGAAAAGAGTGAAAAGAAAGATAGAGGGAGGATCTATTGTGTCCCTTCTGGAGGAGAAGGAGATGAGTGGTGAGAGGCAATGACTTGGAAGAGAGAGACGAATGATGAGCGTATGTATAATCAACCAGGTGCGAAGCCAGATCTAAGAACCAGACGAGATCTGAAGCTGGTGCAAAGCTGAGTGCGAAGTCGAGGAAGAAGGCCAGAGCGAGATCGATCGAGGAGGAAGCGGAGTGCCAAAAAAAGAACCGGTTGTACCGTGCGCACAGTACAACCGACTTTACAATGTATTTTACCATTACTCCGTATTAAATATTATTACTACCTTTGACAAAACTTTGTTAATTCTATACTACAAATCTCTGTCCACTCTATACTAGTCTACAGTAGTACACTTTCACGTCAACACCAATAATTTATTCCGAAATCAATCAACAAAACATATATCACTAATTGACAAAAACATATATCCATTAATTGATAATATCCACACAAGTAACTTGTGTTTCTAAAGGTTTTCTAGCGAACAAATATTTCATTCGTGTTAACTGTTGAAATATATTGAATAGTCATCTTCCAACTATTCATGATCAGGAACACTTATCATCATTGTTAATATAAATAAGAATTCATAATTATGATTTCTAGATGGTAATTGTATGGCTCACAATTAGCCCCTGATCTAGACATGATTACATTTTCTCCTATAAATAGGAGCATTCTCCTTCATTGTAAAGATACCATTATCACACTTCTAATAACATCTTTCTCACTAAGTATTCAGACTATACTTTCTCTCCCTGATCTTCTGCTTATTTCCTTCCATATTATAACACGTTATCAGCACGAATTTGCTCCAAATCCCTGAAATCATCATCTTCCCAACAGGTATATATTTTCACGAATATATGAGATTATCTGAAGAAGAAGAAAAAAAAATCATAGGATGAGAAATATAAACATGTTTATATATATTCAAAACTATAACAAGTATGCTCTATGGTTGCCCAACAATTGGGATCCTCCATATCAGAAAATTATAGCTATATATTTTATAAAAGAAATATAAGCCTATGGAAGAAAGAGAGTTTTTCTTTTCTCTTGACATTTTCTTCCAATAAATCTTACGAAACAAAAGGTAAGATGAAATAGAGTTGAAGTGATTGTAAATATAAATAAGTCAACCGTACCTGTGTTGAACATACTTCTTCATAAAACTTTCTGGAACTAGCAAATCAGAGTGAACATGGATATCACATGTGTACATTATCTATACTAGTAGTCTAGTAGATTAAAATAAAAGAAAGAATACTACGTAAATGTGCTTGGAAGCTAAGGAGTAGTAGCTTAGTAAATTTACATCATAACTTCATATATACTTCGTATCATATAGCTTCATAAAGTCACGGGTTTCTTTTATTCGGCAGACAACCAAACTGCCATCTTGTTTTCTTCTTAGCAATATACTCACACAGCTTTAAAAATAAAATAAGAAAAGAAAATGAGAAGAGAATGAAGCCTTGAAGGTGAGGCAGTGAGAAGATTCATAACTTAAGAAGCAAAAGGATGATACATTCGAAAATAAATAAACAATAAACAGAGTGAATTAAAGGATTACAAATACTTGAATAGCTGTAATCTAATTAATATATTCAAAAGTTAATGTATGTGTCATTTCCGTGGCCTGCAAAAGAAACATATGCATGTGACATTTGTCTTATTAAATTAAATGATAAACTGATGACATGCATGTGACATTTGTCTTATTAAATTAAATGATAAACTGATGACATTATACTACGTACGTAGTAATATTGCGACGGAGTAGTATATACATGTAGTACACTAGTACGTATAACTACTATTATTCCAGTATTTTGATTCTCAAATACTTGGTAATTAATATTCTTCACTTTTCTTGCCGAACAATGAAACTATGATGAATTTGAACTAAAAGTTCAATTATACGTACCGCTTTCTTATAGCATATGAATGATTGAATGTATCAGAAATATTTTAATTAAATATATTATATACTCCGTATATCTCTAGTTAGAGATAGGCAGAAATTGAGGCTCAATACATTTTCCGCAATACAACGGACAATTTATAAATATACTGATTTTTCAAACAAGATTGAAGTACGAACAATTCTGGTTTATGAAAACCCAACCCATAGTTCACATGCTACCTTAATTAAGATTGGATCTACGTGCTCTAATATGTTATGGTGCACAATAAAATTGGTCCCATGTACTACACATATACGTACTCGTATAATAATATAATAAAATAAAATAAAATATGGGAAATCGAATGGATTCAATGCATCTGTTTGTTTTTCTTTTATTTTACTTCATTGATTATTAAACAATCATTTGATAATAATAAAACCAAATTGACGGACCAGAAGCAATTGATGATTTCTTTGATTATAATTATACCATAGTATATATATTACCTTATATATTTTCTTGATTAAATCAATACTTTTTGTAGTATTATGGCACATATTAGCAAAAGAGAGTTTGACGTCCTTGATTTATCTGGCCAAAAGTATTTGGAATGGAAAGTCGACGCTTTGGCACATTTGAAAGCAAATTCCCTTGAAAATACAATTGCTGAAAATAATTCAGCCACTCCCCAAAATAAGGCAAAAGCCATCATCTTTCTTCGCCATCATCTTCATGAAAGTTTGAAATCTGAGTATTTATTGGTAGATGACCCTAAAGAATTGTGGGATAATCTCCAAGAAAGGTATGACCATCAACAAAAGGTCCTTTTACCAAAAGCTCAATATGACTGGATCAATTTACGATTCCAGGATTACAAATCTGTAAGTGACTACAATTCTGCTTTGTTCCAAATAACATCAAAACTAAAGTTATGCGGACAAAAAGTCACTGATGCTGAAATGTTGGAGAAAACTTTGTCCACTATGCATGTTTCAAATGTGCTTTTACAAGAGCAATATAGACAAAAGCATTTTCAAAAGTATTCTGATTTGATATCAGTATTACTATTTGCTGAGACGAATACCGACATTTTGATGAGAAACCACAATATGAGACCCACGGGTTGTAGCCCGGTTAGTTTTGGTCCACCAAATCATGGTTCAAAACATGAATCAAATGCAACCCATAGTGGTGCTCGTGGACATTTCAAACATGGTCGTGGTATTGGTCGTTATAATGGACCTAGCCGGGGAAACAAACAGAGTAGTAGCTCATTTTACAAAGGCAAGGGTAAGCAAAACCGCCATCAAACAAAGAGCCCGACGAAATCTTCAGAAAAGGCCAAAGTCACTTGCTTTAAGTGTGGCACGTCGGGACATTGGGCAAATAAGTGTCGTACACCTAGACACTTGATTGATTTATATAAATCATCTCTAAAAGGAAAGAATGTGGAAACTAATTACGTCAACGAAAATGATCCACCAATGCCCACATTCAATGTGTCTGATTTCTATATGGACGATAATGAGATGAACACTGACATCATTATGGGTGAAAAATAATAAATAAGTAAATAAAAAGGAATTTGAAATAATTCTGTTATGTGATATATTCTACAATAAAAGTTTGTTTGTATTATAATTTTTATTTGGTGTGCTTATTTCGATTGTAAATGTTAGGTAGATTTTAATGAATAAAGCCTTGTTTATATTACAGTATTGAACTAATGTTTGTTCATTTTTATCTTTTCGAAGATATGGAGTTAACTAAAATTTCTCCAAGTGGCTCTGAACAATGTCTAATAGACAGTGCCACAACGCACACCATTTTGAGCCATAGAGATTATTTTTCTCATATGACATTAGTTGATGCTAATGTCAATACAATCTCAGGTGTTGCTAAACTCATTGAAGGTTCTGGAATAGCCCGTGTGATTCTCCCAAAAGGGACAAAATTAATAATTAAAGACGCTTTATACTCCAGTAAATCACGTAGAAATCTTTTGAGCTTTAAAGATTTGCGTCTAAATGGTTTTCATATTGAAACCATGTCTGAAAATCAGAAGGAATATTTATGTCTAACGACAAATAGATCTGGCAATAAATACATTTCTGAAAAAATGCCAGCATATTCCTCGGGACTGTATTATACATATATCAGTCCAATTGAGATAAATGTGGTATCTAAAATTTATGACCACAATTCCTTTATCTTGTGGCATGACCGTTTAGGTCATCCAGGCAGCACTATGATGCACAAAATTATTGAAAATTCACGTGGACATTCATTAACTAATGTCAAGATTCCACAATCAAGTGATTTTCCGTGCACTGCCTGTTCTCTTGGCAAATTAATTATCAGGCCATCTTTATACAAAATTGGAGTTGAATCTCCTGCATTTTTAGAAAGAATTCAAGGAGATATTTGTGGGCCAATTACCCCTCCGTGTGGACCGTTTCGATATTTTGTGGTGCTCATTGATGCATCAACACGTTGGTCACATGTCAGTCTTTTATCGACTAGAAATTTTGCATTTGCAAATCTCCTTGCTCAAATTATTCGTTTGAGATCACAATTTCCGGATTATTCGATAAAGAAAATCCGAGTTGATAATGCAGGAGAATTTACATCCCAATCTTTTAATGACTATTGCATGTCAATTGGGATTGATGTGGAACATCCAGTTCCACATGTACATACACAAAATGGTCTTGCCGAATCCTTAATTAAGCGATTACAATTAATTGCTAGACCATTATTGATGAAATCCAGATTACCATCATCTGCATGGGGATATGCTATAATGCATGCTGCAAATTTAATTCGGCTTAGGCCAACGGCATATCATAAATTTTCCCCATTACAATTAATATCTGGTAAAGAACCAAATATATCACACCTAAAAATATTTGGTTGTTCTGTGTATGTACCAATTGCTCCACCTTATCGTACTAAAATGGGTCCTCAAAGAAGGCTGGGAATTTATGTTGGTTTTAAATCACCCTCAATTATTAATTATCTAGAACCTATGACCGGTGACTTATTCACCGCGCGGTTCGATGACTGTCATTTTGATGAGACAGTATTCCCAGCCTTAGGGGGAGATATTAAAGAAATGGACCCACGTACGAAAGATATTACTTGGAATGCAACAAATTTATCTTTTCTTGATTCTCGCACAAATGCTTGTGAACAAGAAATTCAAAAGATTATTCATTTACAAAATGTTGCAAACCAATTGCCTGATGCTTTCACAGACTCAAAGAAAGTAACAAAGTCACATGTTCCAGCTATGAATGCTCCTTCTCGAATAGAAATTCCTGCGGAGATTAGCGAAAGAACACTTGCTAATGAATCTATGATACGTAAAAAACGTGGTAGACCACTTGGTTCAAGAGATTTGAAACCAAGAAAATTTAAACAGCAAGTTGTAGTTTGTGATGCCAAAGAAGTTCAACCTTCTCAAGAAGAAAATGAACATTTTGAAAATATCGGCCTTGAAGATAACATCAATAATAATGATACCTCAAAAGAGGATCCAATCACCTTCGAAGAGGTAAATATTCCAGATAAAGATAGAAACGTCGATAATTTTGAAATTTCAATTAATTACGTTTCTAATGGAATACAATGGAATAGAAATGATATTGATGTTAATGATATATTTTCATATGCCATCGCCACAGATATAATGAATGAACACGATGACAATGAGCCTAAATCTATTGACGAATGTCGTCGTAGAAATGATTGGCCAAAATGGAATGAAGCAATTCAGGTAGAATTAAAATCGCTAGAAAAGCGTAATGTTTTTGGACCAATTGTCCATACGCCAAAAGGCGTAAAACCTGTCGGTTTTAAATGGGTTTTTGTGCGTAAACGCAACGAGAAAAATGAAATCGTTAGATACAAAGCCCGACTTGTTGCCCAAGGTTTTTCTCAAATGCCAGGAATCGATTATGATGAGACGTATTCTCCAGTAGTTGATGCTACAACTTTAAGATTTTTAATTGGCATGTCTGTTTTTGAAAGGCTGCAAATGCGCCTCATGGATGTGGTGACCGCATATTTATACGGTTCACTCGATACAGACATATATATGAGAATTCCTGGAGGCTTTAAAATACCTGATGCTTACAGCTCGAAATCTCGAGATTTATTTTCCATAAAATTGCAAAAGTCATTATATGGATTAAAACAATCTGGACGCATGTGGTATAACCGTCTCAGTGAATATTTGATTAAAGAAGGGTATAAAAATGATCCTATTAGTCCATGTGTTTTCATTCAGCGATCCGAATCAGGATTCGCCATAATTGCAGTATATGTTGATGATTTGAATATAATCGGAACTCCTAATGAAATTGAAAATACTGCAAAATATCTCATGAAAGAATTTGAAATGAAAGACCTTGGGAGAACAAAATTTTGTCTCGGCATTCAAATTGAACATTTGAGAAATGGTATTTTCATCCACCAATCAAATTATACTGAGAAACTTTTGAAGCGATTTTACATGGATAAAGCACATCCGCTCAATTCTCCAATGGTGGTTCGATCTCTCAATGTGCATGATGATCCTTTCCGACCTTGTGAAGATGATGAAGAAATCCTTGGTCCCGAAATACCATATTTGAGTGCTATTGGAGCATTAATGTATTTGGCTAATAATACTCGACCAGATATTGCTTTTTCTGTAAATTTATTAGCCAGGTATAGTTCTTCCCCAACAAGAAGGCATTGGAATGGTGTCAAACATATATTCCGATATCTCAATGGTACAATCGATCTTGGATTGTATTTCAAGAATGGTGCAAATGCCACTTTAATTGGCTACGCGGATGCAGGATACTTGTCTGATCCACAAAAGGCAAAATCACAAACAGGATATTTATTCACCTATGGTGATACCGCTATATCATGGAGATCAATGAAGCAAACATTAACTGCAACATCATCAAATCATGCAGAATTAATTGCTCTTTATGAAGCAGGTCGTGAGTGTGTCTGGTTGAGATCAATGATCCAGCACATACAAAATGAATGCGGTATAAAATCTTTTACTTCTAATCCTACTGTGATTTATGAAGATAATACAGCATGTATAGCTCAGATCAAAGGAGGTTACATCAAAGGGGACAGAACAAGCATATAGCACCAAAACTTTTCTCCACACATGATCTTGAGAAAGACGGAACGGTTGATGTCAAACAAATCAAGTCATGCGACAACCCTGCTGATTTGTTCACAAAGTCATTGGCACCGAAGAAATTTGAAGAACTGGTCCATAAAATTGGAATGTATCGTCTTCGAGATATATGTTAAATTGAGGGGGAGTAATATAATGCACTGCACTCTTTTTCCCTTCGTCAGGTTTTTATCCCACTGGGTTTTTCTTGACAAAGGTTTTTAACGAGACAGTACATTATAATACTATGAAACTAATACCCCAGAATAATTAGAAGATGACCATTCAAGGGGGAGTGTTGAAATATATTGAATAGTCATCTTCCAACTATTCATAATCAGGAACACTTATCATCATTGTTAATATAAATAAGAATTCATAATTATGATTTCTAGATGGTAATTGTATGGCTCACAATTAGCCCCTGATCTAGACATGATTACATTTTCTCCTATAAATAGGAGCATTCTCCTTCATTGTAAAGATACCATTATCACACTTCTAATAACATCTTTCTCACTAAGTATTCAGACTATACTTTCTCTCCCTGATCTTCTGCTTATTTCCTTCCATATTATAACATTAACAACATACTTAATCAACCAACAAAAACGAAATCAAATGTTTCCAAAACTACATAAATTATATTGGGGTTTAGGATGTTTTACTTGGACTATAATCTATCCCAAACCAGATTAGACCAGACCAAATTTGGATAGTTATAAAATACAAAGAAACCAAACCAGACCAGCAAATTACAGTTCAAGTAAAAACAACCTTACAAAGATGAAATCAACCAACAAAGACAATGCTCATTGCTCAAATGCTCATAAATTCACATAAAAATGATGCCCATTGCTCTCGTGTCTCGTTGATTTCTTCTTCTGTGAATGATGCTTGGACGTTGATGAGCACCTAAAAATTATATAATGAATAAAGTAGACTATTGAAATAAAAGCAATAACATAGGTAAATACACGTTGAAAGAATTATGTTAAAAATAAACATAAGGCAAGTCTTATCACCTTCAACCATGAATTGATAATACTAGCACAAACAATAATAGCCATATGTTTCATAACATAATATCCACATTCATAACCTCCCCTTTCGACACTGCAAAAAAATTAACTTCATAGAATAAAAAAAATTGCAAAACAAATGGTGACTAGCCTTTAAAAACGCATAAAACTAATTCAATTATTACAATTGTTCATCACAAATGGTGATCATTACCGTTGGCTGGACCCATTTCGCTTTGGAATTCTTTTTATTTTTGATCATTTGATGTGTTTGCATGGCCCTAATAATGAAAAGGTACACAAACATTAATCATGTAGCTTTCGTAATTTTAATGACAATAATCAATTTAATACTACTAAAATCGTATTGCACCAATAGAAGATTTATGATGTTCTTCTTCGGCTTATTCACCAATGAGCACAAAAAGACAATTACATTCTGCTTTAGGCACAACACAAATAACTCCCAATGATTACTGAAATGAACATAGTACTCAACAATGATTACTGAAATGAACATAGTACAAAGCAAGTCACCTAAGCAATACACATTCATAAAATGAAATCAACAAATGATTATCAATGAACATGTACTCAGTACTTACGGATCGTAATATGACAATAAGTAACACTCTTTTATTTTCGGCAAGGTTGGCTAATATATACTCCGTATGTTTGGATATCATCACACTTGTTACCCCATCTTGAATGGTATGTGGATAAAAAAAACCATGCTGATGTGTGATGTTCTTTTGAACACAATTTATCTAAATACTTGTAAATTCAGGGCATAATTAATGTGGTATATACTAAACAAAAAAGATAAACCATCCACATGATATAAAAAACACACTGCAAATGCAAATCTTTCCATCGAGCATGCTAATCCTTCTAAAGACCCCTTCGCTGACCAAGTTTAAATCCATTTGCATACGCTAATAAGCTTTATATTGGAAATTAAAATAGACATATACGGAGTATATAATTATCTTCAAACACAACTGAAGTAAACAAGTGAAAAGTCTTTAAAAATTCAGATTTTTTATCACAAATTTGATACCAAGAGGATAACTAGTCAACCCTGGTGAATAAGGATTAATAAAGCATATACGTACTAAAACAAATGGACATGCAGCCAAATTATAGTATGAGCAGAATCTAAAGGAGACTTGAGGGAAATAACAAAAAAATAGCCCGGGGATTTAAGAAAAAGCCTGGCCTTAGACGCTTCTGAAATGGACATGGATATCATTGTACTAAAACAAGAAAAGACATATAATTTCAACTTAATTACATGATCCATACTTGTAGAATAACTGCACTAAGCATTTGGTTTCTCAAACATATCTCCAATATCTCTTTAGATCCTAGAAAAAGAGATATATCGACTCGACCAATAATATCTCTCCTTTAAGGATCAACTATATAGACTGTAGCACAAGGTGTTTAGTTATAGCCAGCAAACGCGATATTGAATTCTTGTGATTATATATCATAAGCAAAATCCTGTTCCCGAACATCATCATTCTATAAGATTAAAATGTTGAGATATATTACATAACAATTCCATCTGAATTTGAAGAGGTTTTCTTTAGTGCATGCATCTTCGTCTTGAGAAACATAGAATTTCTTACCAAATGACATTAGGAAGTTTGCTACATGAAAGGCATCCAGTATAAAACACTCACTATGACTTTCTCCATGATTTCTTAGAACCCACAGGCTCTTAAAAAGAACTTCCGTACTTCCTTTTTCACCCTTATCATTTTGTTACCTTTTAAGGGGAGAATTATGTGCTTGATATGCCCCCTAATTAAATCTTAATCCCAGAATATCATTTTCTTAATAAGCGTACTAAATAAGCTTGCAAGAAGCTAGTGGGCAATTCTTTGAGGAACGACGAAGTATTAAATCATTTCAGCCAATTAACTGACAATTTTTATGAACATTTAGCTTTTGAATTGAATTTAATTTAATGCAGTAATGGTTCTTTTATGCTTTATAAATTATGCATTTTTTACTGAGACGGTAATTGTTGGTGATGTGGAGGCAAATTATATACGGAGTACCAAATTGGTAATGATGTCAACACCTTGGGAAATAAAGATTGTACCCCTGCAACGTTAGCTCTTGTATTTGAAAAGGACAGAAACAAGCCTCAAGGTATTTGTTCTCTCACGAACTAAAATTTAAATTTATCTTCTCACCATACATGTAAGGCTAAAAATTGCAAAGAAATACTATCGTAGAATTATTTGCTATCAACTATGAGTGACATAGGATTCTCTTGAAGCAATTTTAACTTTCCATAATGTCTTATCAAGGTTGTCAAAATCTAGATTCAAATCGTAAAATCGTACGATTTTACATCAAAAGATCGATTCAAATCGTTATATAAATCGGCTTTTAATAAAATCGTACGAAATCGTAACCAGAATCGTTCAAAATCGTTCAAAATCGCGATTCGTACGATTTTGTACATGGCTTCAATTATGAAAAAAAATTAACGAAAAAAAGAGAATAAAACCTTAATAAGTTAATAACCCGCCGTCCCGCGTGCATTAAGCGCAAAGCCCAAAATCCCCTAATTATTAAAAGTTAACTCCTCAAATATCTAACCCCACTAACCCTTCTTCTTCCTTTTTCTAAAATCTAAACGACTACACCAGACCTAATAACTCACAAGTCACAACGGCACAAGAGAAGGAACTCAAGGAAGTGGTCTCTGCTATTTTTCTGCTGGAATCTGGCCTCTGCTTCCAAGAAAAGAGCCAGGTTGATTTATTATTGTAATTCTATCTCTGTAATACATTCTCCGCATTTCGCACAAGATTTACTTCGAATCTGGCATGGTGCTTGAATTTCACTAAAAATTTGTAGATTATTTTATTATTAACTTTATATATTACTATATTACTTCAGTAAAATTTATTAAAGTGTTCTTCCTTCTCTAATGTGTATTACATGATTATATGAGCACATGGATGCATCTTTTAATTGCCTTGTTCTTTCATGCTTTTGTGATTAATATATGAGAGCAGGTTTGCTGTTCTTTCTAATAAATTCTTTTTTATTTACAATATTTTGTGTTCAATGAATCTACTCTTAGATTTTATGTTTGACGTGTTTCTTTATTTTTTTCACATCTCATCTGTTTAAGTGTTTAGCATTGATTATATAAGTAACTTATTAATTGATGAAGTAAACTTATAGAATGTTTGCATCTTCTTTAGTTTGTGAGACATGCCTGATACAAAGAAAAGAAAAAATGCATCTAGAAGTAGAGAAGATCCTGGTTGGGAGCATGGATATCCAGTTGACAAAGACTCTAGGAAGGTTCAATGTAAATATTGCAATGGTATTCGTTGGGGTGGAATATATAGACACAAGCATCACTTAGCAGGGACCAGGGAGAATGTTGAGCCATGTGTTGCAGTACCAGATGAAGTTAAACAAAAGTTTTTACAGATTTTAAAAGATCAAGCAACGAAAAGGTGAAAATACGGTTATGATTCTGAAAGTGAAGATGGCGATATCCAGGACGAGTCTAAAGGAAAAGAGGCAGTAAAACTGAAAGGGTTCAAAACCAAATCAAAGCAAGCAACTATGAATCAAATGTTTAAGAGGGATCAACGAGAAGAAGTCTGTCAACAAATTTGTAGGTTTTTTTACACAAGTGCAGTCCCTTTTAATTGCGTGAAGAATCCCGAGTTCATAAAGATGATTGACATGATAGGGAGATATGGAATTGGATTAAAGCCACCATCTTACCATGAAATAAGGGTAACATTCTTGAAGAAAGAAGTGAGCAGAACATTGGAAATGCTTGAAGAGTATAGATAAGAGTGGAGGAGAACAGGTTGTACAATAATGTCTGATGGATGGTCAGATAATAAAAAAAGATCAATTTGCAACTTTCTGGTGAATAGCCCTAAAGGATCTGTGTTTCTATGCTCCATTGACACATCTGAAATATCAAAAACTGCTGAAAGGGTGTTTGAAATGCTTGATGATATTGTGGTCAAAGTTGGTGAGGAAAATGTTGTGCAAGTGGTTACAGATAATGCTTCCAATTATAAAGCTGCGGGTAAGATGCTAATGGAGAAAAGAAAAACACTGTTTTGGACTCCCTGTGCTGCTCACTGTTTGGATCTCATGCTAGAAGATTTTGATAAGATGATCACACTTCATCAAGAAACAGTTTCAAAGGGTAAGAAAATTACCACTTTCATATATGGGAGGACAATGCTCGTCACTTGGTTAAGAGAGTTTACCAAAGGAAGAGATCTGATCAGGCCTGCAGTTACACGATTTGCTACTTCATATTTAACTTTGGCATGTTTAAATGAATTAAAAGGGTGTCTAATTACAATGTTTTCATCAACTAAATGGAAGTGCAGCAGGTTTTCAGCCCTTAAAGAAGGAAAAAATGTCCAAGAAATCGTTTTAGATTCCAAGGGATTTTGGAAAGATGTTATGACATGTTTAAGAGGTGCAATGCCACTTGTTAAGGTTCTTAGATTGGTAAATTCTGATATGCTGCCCCCGATGGGATTCATTTACGAATATATGAATAATGCAAAGCTCAAAAATCAAAAGTAATTTTAACAATGTCCAGAAAAGGTATGTTTATTAAAATTCTACTGTAATATATGTGAGTTATTGATTTTTGCTTACTTTGAGTTCATTTGTAAATGTTTACTAGTGTCTTGCTTTGTATTAGATATAAGCCACTCTTAGACATAATTGATCAAAGGTGGGAACTTCAACTCCATTCGCCCTTGCACGCGGCTGCTTACTATTTGAACCCACAGTACCATTATGCTGCTGATTTCAAAGACACTTTAGAGATTAAGAAAGGCTTGTACGATTGCATAAACCGAATGGTAGCTGATCAAATGGAAAGAGTTGAGATTACACTGCAGATTGACAAGTTCAAAAGAGCACAAGGACTGTTTGGAAGTGATATGGCAGTTTTAACCAGGAAGAAAAAAAGTCCAGGTTTGTATTGTATAAAATATGGCATGTTTAATCTTATTTGTGATGATTCAGTTCTTAACAGTTTGTATTAATCTGTATAAAAGTTATTTTTATCAAATAATGCAGCTGAATGGTGGGATTCTTTTGGAGATGAATGTCCAGAACTAAAAAAATTGGCCATTAGAATATTGAGTTTGACATGTAGCTCTTCAGGTTGTGAACGAAACTGGAGTGCATTTGAGATAATAATATATCATTTGTTATTAATTTCCTTATCATTGATATATATAATATTAATTATTGATAGTATCTATTCAATAATATAGGTTCATACGAAGAGGAGGAATCGTTTACACCAAAAAAAGATGAATGATTTGGTGTTTGTCATGTACAACCTGAAACTAAAGGAGAGACAACGACAAAGAGCTTTGACTGGTTCCTTAGAATCTAATAAGTTTGGTGCAGATTTTGATGATATTCCCTCAGATGATGAATGGATAACCGAGCAAGAGGATCCTGTTTTTCCAGAAACGAGTAAGTGGTTAGATGTGCTTGATAGGAGTGCAAGAAGAGAAGCAAGAAATGAGTTGGGTGATGAAGCTCAAGAATGTTCTGATGAAGAAGATATTTCTAGTGCAATAAAGATGATTGAATCGAGTAAGTAATACTTGGGGCATTTACTTTTTGAATACTATTGTTGAGTTACTATAAATTGTTAATTCTTCTTATGTCAAATATATACGTATAGGTGATGATATCCTTGATATTTTTGACAAAGAAATGAATTTGGAAGCTCCTGGAGATGATGTATATGAAGAATATGGTGATGATATGTTCACTGAAGACACTCCTGGAAGCAGTCATATGTAGAAAATTTGGTGTACATTATATGTATGAGGCTATGAGCTGATGTGTTTTGAACCTTTGAAATTTGAATATGTAAAATACTGCATTGGTCATGTTATCTACGTTCTTATCTATTTTGTTAACTTTATTTAAAAAATATATGGATGGTTTTATCCTATGAGTTGACATATTAATGTTAATTTGTTGTCTCATATATTTTAGATATTTATTTACTTATATTTCATAAAATCTTACGATTTGCGATTCGATTTTACGATTCGATTTTTAAAACCTTCCACTGATTCGATCAAAATTTACGATTTTGACAACCTTGTGTCTTATAAAGAAAGAGATATGAGAGAGTACAACTAACCTTCCGATATGTCATTTCCTCCTCATTTTGGGGATTCATCAATCTTTGTGGCCATTGAATGAATTGATTGGGGGCCTGTCCAACCGTCATAACCTCCTCACTAAGAATCGGAACCATTGCAGTTCCATCTAAAACTTTAAACACTTCCACCCTAACAATATTTTGCAGCGATAATCTGATGGTGTATTGTAGGACCCAAATTATGTACCTAATAAAAATTTCATATTTCACGTGTCATAAAATTTGAACTACAAGTAATCTTGCAAGAAAAAAACAATTTTGAAAACTTAATAACAACTTAAAACAACTTACAAAGTATAATACTTACTCCTTTATAAGCATTAAATTCTTCACTGACATGAACTTTCACTAAAACCATTTGTTGTGCAATGGCTCCGAGTAAAAAATATTCATGGGGTGGCATCCTAAAATAGCCGCATATGAGAACAAACTCACCATACAACATGCACTTATGTCCTATGACCAAATTAGAATAAAAATAAAAGAAGTAAATTTGATGAAATAAGTTAGAGGAAAACAAGCTCAAAAAGAGAGTAATGTAGTAAGCATTATGAATATGCATCTTATGCATTTTGACTTCAGTTTCCCACTCATTGACACCCTTCATCTTAATTGTCCATTTCACGTCTCCGACCTTCGCGCATCACCGTCCACTTCACGTCTGGCTCCTTCCGCCCAAAAGTTGCAAACAAGAACTCAAAATACTACAGGAGTATTTTTGTTAGCTTTTCAAAGAGTTGAAAGGCAATGACAAAAGACTGCAAAATCTTGAATGAGCTACAGAAGTGTAATGTCGGTATGCATGTTTGGAGATATTCAAACAAGGAATTGTGGTATGCTAATAGGGGTTCTCGCAATAGTGTCCCACAAGATTGTTGGGATTTTAGCTCTTGGTGAATGCTTTAAAATAAAGATACTCTATATCAAAGGGTTGAGCAAATTGAAAATAAGATCGTTATTGTTTTGAGAAAATTTGTTGCAATTTATTATACAGTTCATTCATATTAGTAGCTATAAATTTCATCTTCAGTTACAAATCTAGACTTTCAAATTTGATTCTCGGTCCTTCGGTTACAGATTTTATTTACGTTGCCTAATCTCTCTCCCCACTCCTTCACCCCAGCTCTCTGGCTTTTCTCTATAAATTCAAGGGAGACTATCCTTCAAGAGGTGTGGTTTTTAGAAGGTATTCTCTCTGTTTTGTTCTAGGATATATTCAAAAGAAAATTGAGCAGTATTGTTAAGGGTGCTTATAGATTAGAGCAATACAACACCAGTGCAGGCGTATTGTCTTTCCAATTTCTCAGCGGTTGTTTTATCCTGGGGGCGTCGGGCCTAAACGTTGCAGCACAATTCTGAGCGACTTCCGAAACGTCTTAAAGAAAGCGCAATCCTTGACTCAACCAATATTATTTGTTTGGTAATCTTGTTCCTGTCTCTTTCTAATATCAAAGCTGCATATAGTCCCAACAAAGATTCACGGAGGAGGGTTTGGAGATGTAACAAAAGTAAGTCAAATTTCTGGGTTTATGACTCAACTAAGAGAGTGGTTTGAGTACATTGCTAATAATGTTATTGCACCTTGCTTCGCCACTGGATGAGCTATGGGGAGAACTAGACAAGTACTTGATCCGTCTTGAAGAAGTCTTAAGATCAAGTTTTCTTCATTTTGTAATTTATTTAATCCTTTAATCTAACACTCCGTAACACTAATCCCTCCGTTCTCTAATACCCGGCCCTCTTTCCATTTTGGAATGTTCTCTGTTAGTTGTCACCCTTTCCACTTTTGGTAAGTTTTTTCAATAAATATGCCCATTTCCTTCATTCTCTTTCCTACTTTTTCATTCCCTTTCCTATTTTTTCCTTTACACACAACTCAGTACACCTTTTATCCTACCACTATTAATTCCATCTTAAATCTTGTGCCAAAGCCTATACTCTCATCTATTAGAGAACGGAGGGAGTAATATTTATTCTTTTTTTTAGGGATAAATAATACGTAGTACTTATTTAGTTATTTTATGGGGAAGATTAAGTACTCATCTATTTTATAAGAGGTAAGGGTCAGATTGGTACTCGAAGTTGCATAAAAAGGGTCAAATCAGTCCTTATATAGGAGGCTTTGTCTGACCGTCATCATTTGGGGCGGTTCCAGGTGGAATTTTTTGACGAAATTTTTTGAACATCTTATTCATTACGTCTAGTTCACTCATGCCAAATGTCAGCTAAAAATTAAATTGGGAAGGCATTCAAATGAATTCTTGAAGATAACTGCGCAGTTAAAAGCATATTTATCTTCAAGAATTCATTTGAATGCCTTCCCGATTGAAGTTTTAGCTGAAATTTGGTATGAGTAAACTAGACTTAATGAATAAGATGCGAAAAAAAATCATCAAAAAGTTCCACCGGGAACCGCCTCAAATGGCGACGGCCGGACAATAAGGATTTATTTGACTCTTTTTACGCAACTTCGAGTACCAATCTGACACTTACCTCTATTTTATAATAACAAATTACAAACACACTACTTATCGAAACAGATTGTGGCATAAATGATTAAAAATAAAGTGGTTCTTATGTTTTTGTCCCAAAAAGGAATAAAAATGTTTTTAAATTCCAACATAAAACTTTTATGTTTTGGAGTTGTTACATTGAAAAATATTGTTATTAATGCTTTGAAAACATTGTCGTGTTAAATTTGCAGCCTAAATTGTGTAGTAATCGAAATATGCAAGTTTGAAAAGTTTTTTTGGTTCTTCGTTTCTTTGTTCATTCAACTCAACTGTCTCGGCTTAAATCAGTAGATTCATTTGATTAACTAGAAACAAATGCATCGACAATGAAAGACTACATCAAGCATTAGATAAACTAAATTAATCAAATGAGAGAAGATACCTGTTACTCCGTATATTATACAAAGAAATCGTGGCGCGAGGACAATACAGGTTTCACTAAATCATCGAGCTTAATCACATTTTTGAAATTGAAAAAATATTTAGCGCAATTCATCACGCTCTTACCCTCAAGTTTATGCGTTTCGGCTAAGGTGAGATACAGATATACAGTACTACGTATAACTGTATAAGGTGAGGAATAGGGCATCACAAATGGTTTACGAAATGACTCATTTGCTATTGTGATGTGATGATAATAACATAACTGCCACAAAATATACAGCAACCAAATCCAATCTACTCCGTATTAAAAATCTTCACCTACGTACATGGCATGTGGTAATTGCACCCCATCCACCAAGTCCTTTTTGTTACGTACTCCCTCCGTAACATATATATGTTCCCATTTGAAAAGTAGGTAGATTAATAATAGTGAAAGGGGATATAAATTATTGAGGGTATGATGGGAAGATAGTGAAATAATGTGTTGGAATGAAGGATAAATCCAAAAAAAGTAGGTGTAATAGTGTATTATTTTTAAAATTATTGAGGGTATGATTGGAAGATTATGAAATGGGAAGATATGAATGTTACATCCAAAAAAGGAAAGTGGGAAGATATAAATGTTACGGAGGGAGTAGTATTTTACTTTTTTGAATGATGTCTTTTTGTTTTTTATAATAATCCATAAATCTTTGAAATAATTTCAAATATGTAACCAAAATAAAAGAAGGGAACCAAAATATGACTTTGGTAACTTTATTGTTTATAATTAGTATTCATATGTTACATTATATTGACTATAAAATTTACACATAATAATTTATAGTCACATTTTTATTTATAGATTATTTATTAGTAATATTTTAAGAAAAACCTTCATCGGGATATTGAATTTATCGGAGTCCAATAATATCATATAGAGAATAACAAATCATATGAACTTATATTACTTTGTATTAATTTATATTTCCCCGTTCTCTTTTAATTGCATCACTTTCATTTTCGCGTTTGGCAACACATAACTTTGATCATTAATACTACGTATATTTAATTTTCTATTAATAAAATCTTTTGATAAATCCATAACAAGTCTAAAAAGAGACAAGAAAATATTAAAAATGAGAAGCTAAATGGAAAATGTGGATAACTAAGCCCCTCATAGTCTTTCAAATTTTCCATTTAGCTTCTCATTTTTAATATTTTCTTGTCTTTTTTTAGACTTGTTATGGATTTATCTAAAGATTTTGGGGTTTCAAGCAATGACGTGTACTATTTATTAAGTTTATCATTTTGTGTGCTTATTAAATCCTACTAGTCTTATGGTGAAAAAAAAATAATTTTCTATTTGTAAACTCACCCGTGCGATGCACGGTCAGAGAATTTTCCTTCAAATTTATTTGTGCTCACTAATTCAAATTACACTATCAATTGATAAGAGCATCTATCTCCATGGAATATTGATATAACTTCAAGCAATAAACAAAACACACTTATAATATATATTATAGTTACAAAGAGAGCACTAAACATTACTTAAAAGACCAAAAACATCCAACAAATACTTATAAACCATAACATTGTAAATATACATTTCATGTAACCCTAAACATTGTTGAACACTTTTTGAATACAACATTTTGAGTCTTGTTCAGTGGTTCCTTCTTCTTCATCAATACCCGTGCGACACACGATTGGTGAAATTTCACGGGTATAATTAACATTAGCCAAGATTTTAATTAGAAATTAAACTTAACAAACTTGTAATTTTAATTGAATTGTTTAGAATTATACTCCATACAATAATAAAACTTGACGTAAATGAAACATATAAAATACAATTTACTAATGTTTATAGAGTAGTACATTATTTTTTATAGCCCACAAAATAGTAAGTAACGCGCAATAAAAACATCATTTGAAAACAAATTACATTTCATGGCAAATTTTATGAAACACTTCTTTGTACCTTCTTTCTAGCATTAACCTTTGTTAAAAGGAAAATTACACTAAATAGGACAAAATAAGTTTATGTATTCCAAAATTGGACCTTAAGCATGACAATATTTTTCAAGCTTGACATTAAGTATGCCTATTTTGGCAATAAAAAACATGACTACCTTATTTTGGAATTCTCAAAATTATTTACTCATATTCGAAAATTTTCTCTTATTAAAATCCTTCATTCAAGTATATTTTTGGTAAAGATTTTTTTTTCATTTTCAAATCAAAGGTCTATATATGTTAACTGAAGGTATACATTGTTATAATTATTAAATAATATGGTGACATTACATCTATACGAATTGCATTATTTAGATGAATTGCTGATGTAACCTCACAAATCAGGGGGTGTGCCCGCAGATATGTGAAAATGTGTTATGTCTTTATTTATACGAATTGCATTATTTAGACGAATTGCTGATGTAACCTGGCAAATCAGGGGGGTGTGCAGATATGTGAAAATGTGGTATGTCTTTATCTATATGAATTGCATTATTTAGACGAATTGCTTATGTAACCTGGCAAATCAGGGGGGTGTGCAGATATGTGAAAATGTGTTATGCCTTATCTATACGAATTGCATTATTTAGACAAATTGCTGATGTAACCTGGAAAATCGGGGGGGTGCGGATATGTGAAAATGTTTTATGCCTTATCTATACGAATTGCATTATTTAGACGAATTGCTGATGTAACCTGGCAAATCAAGGGGGTGTGCAGATATGTGAAAATGTGTTACGCCTTATCTATACGAATTGCATTACTTAGACGAATTGCTGATGTAACCTGGCAATTCAGGGGGTGTGCAGATATGTGAAAAAGTGTTATGTCTTTCCTAAACTATACTTCAATATAAATTTATGAGAAAATCTTCAAATAAGTATTTATACATATAATGTGTTTTTAGGTATATATGTATATAACTTTTTTAAATGATTACATAAATACGATTAAAATAAAGGCTGTTTATGAAAATGTGACATGTTAAGCATAGTTACTATGGTCAAAATACTTTTTTACATCTTTCAAATTTTTTTATATCTAAATTCACCAAAACAAAATTCAACCTCAAAATTATTTAACTTCATTCATCTTTAGAGAAATTGCACTTTCTCTAAATGAAAGGAAAATGAAATAGAAATTGTCTTTACATTACAAATTTAGTATCATTTATATCTTTTATTACGACACAATATATGCGCGGATGACTTTCCGTGAAAACATCTTACCACCACCATCTTGCTTGTTAATCTGTTCCTCTGATACAGAAATGTTTGAATTACAATTATTTGTGTTTTGTAATAAAACTTTTAAAATAGATTTCATAAAAAATTGTGATCATTATCATCATCACCCCAGTGACGCAAAGGCTCCCACCTACGATAAGGGAGGTCAGATGTACACAGTCTTACCACTGTACCAAAGCATAGAGAGATTGTTTTCGACCTGTAGTAACTCACTTACTAAATGAATTATTATACGGAGTATCGATATTTTTATGTGAGTGCTAGCCCTAAGACCACACCGCCAAAAACAGTGACACAAACAAAAGGATTCTCTATAGTGCCAGAAAAATAATGCTATGAAAGGTTTGGTGGACTATTTTAACGAATATACTTCTCAAATTCAAGATAGTAACCAAGCATTCCAGCCCAACTGGTTGCGAGGTTACCGTGCCTAGTGAGAGGTCTCGAGTTCGAAACCCGTTGGGCACATAAGGGGTCGAAACTCAATGGGCTGAGTTTCAGCCCCCATTACTCCAGGCTCCCCCCAAACCCCCTGGAGTAAAACAACAAAAACAGAAAAACTTTTCAAATTCAAGATTTATTTTGTAGTTAATACATGACTTTGACTTAATAAAAAAGTGAACACTTGTAAACAGTTCAATTATTGTATTTAAACTTGTTCGTACCTTATCAATTTTTAGGACACTAACATAGTAACATTAAACAAAGCCAATTACACACAAAAAAAACGATTACACATAGATTTTACCCAAATTTTAAAAGCAAATGCACTCTAATGACGTTTTGATTAGTTCGGGGATTTACTAATACTTCATAAATACAGAAGTGTCTATTCGATCTTTTTTCTCTTTATAAGAAGCGAACATCCAGAACACAAAAATAAAAACTTAATGCATGGGTTTGGACATTGAACAAAACAGATGAAATCTAAAAGCATTTTAAGGGGTCCATACAGAGCAGCCCATTCATTCTCAGTGTAAAGCAAATAAATGGGCCTTCGGAATAGCCCAAAAATCTGAGTACATCAAATAAAACAGCCTGCTGAAAACGACTCCTCCCTCAAACCCTCCCTTTTCTTCGCCGACACCACCAACCTTCGACATTCCTTCTCACTAAACTCCAACAACGACGCTCATCCATCGTTCATTCCATCGACAGGAAAAACCAAGCGGTGCTCATTCATCATCGACCTCTTCTCATCCCTTATTCCACCATGAATCCAGAACTGAACAGCCACGGGCTGAATCCGGCGTCAATCTGCTTATCTGCGCTATGACTTACCCGACAACGGTAAGATCTGATAAACTACACTACACGCAACCACTTCGTCGATAACATGTTTTCTAAAGAACAAACAAACTAACACGTTTTTTAGCTACAACATACAAACTCCACAGATATAGAAGTTCCATGGCCATGGATCCATATTTTTTTTCACTCTTCCGCCTTGAATCGCATGTTAACGGTAAATTCTAAATCCGTCCACCTAACGAACCACATCTTCATTTGCACGTTTTTTCAGGAAAAAGCAACGAAAAACGGATTTATATGGAAAACATCATCCAAACGAAACAGATCTGCGTTTACAGTTCAATTGGCTTCCATTCCCAAATTTTTTTGATATTTTAAATTTTTTACGAAAGACTTGTTGCACCGAAAATATTAGAGACACCTGTCATCCACATAAAAGTGATAAAACATAGACCCTGTTTGATTGCCTTTTTTAAAAACTAAATTCATTAATTTAATTTGACGAATAAATTGATACCAACAGACATTTGGTTGTGTTGTAAACCCCTTTAATTGACATGCATTGAAAAATAAATAAATGAATTTATATCATAAGTTCAAACCATTTTGAGTAAATTTCTGTCATGAAAACTAATCGGTATTTGTATGGAAATGGTTTGATTTTGACACTACCGAAAATGAATAATAATTTCAAATATTTAA